GGGGGAGGGGGGGAGCAGGGCCTCTGGGGGGTTGGGAGAGGTTGGAGGAACATCAGGGGCCATGGGTGGAATGGATCTGCCGACGAACCCTGAGAGATCATTGGCTTTGGGCAGTCAGAGACTGAAGTGCAAGGCAGGCCCAGCAAGGTCCAGGGTGTGTTTGGCGGTTAGGTCTCAGCAAGTGCAAAGATGGTGCGGGGGGGCGGGGGGGGGCGGTATGTGGTCCCTCAGCATCCAGCAGAGCTGGCAGCCATAGTGGAAGTGGGGAGGAGGTCCTCGGCACAGTTCAAGGCAGACTCAGGGTGGAGGTGGGGAGTCAGGCTCCTTAAGGCAGCACCCCTTTTTTCTCCAGCCCCTCCTCCCACATCCCCTCCTCTTCCCGGACCCCCTTTCTGGCCTCCCTCCCAGGCCCCGCAGGCGAGGCCATCAGGATTCCCCTGATTGCTTTCTTTCATCCCGGTGCCTTTCTCTGCAGCAAACGCCGCTAATGCCTCCTTTATCACGGAATTAGAGGATTTGGGGCCGATAGCACAAAGAGGCCCTCGATAGCGGCCGTAATCAAACGCCAATCGGCCCGATCTTGAGCGGGACGGGGAAGAAAGCGAGCGCCAGGGATTAGCGCAGGACCCGCGGCCGGGCTGGGCCGAGATAGTATCGGCGCGGTCGTGGGGCTGAAGCTGCCGGGGAGGGCCGGGCCGCGGCCGCGGAGAAAGGCCGGCTTAGCTGCTCAGCGCCGGGGATTCTGAAGCCATTAGCAGGGATTAGCACCCGGGTTAATCTGCTTTGGCAGCTCAATTGTCAGCAGGGAGTGCGCAAGCGGTGGAGGACACCTCTGGCCTGAGTAGCCACGGAACCTCTGTAGTCCAGGCCCAGAGGCTGGTCTCGGTTTCCCCCGCTGGCTGGGCCAAGCCTGGTCCTGAGCACCAGAGCTAAGGATGCATACCTCACTTCATCAGGCCAAAGGGCTGATGCATGGACTTGGCCCACTAGGTGTGAGTGGACAGGCTCTTGGCTCCAGCCTCCACCTTTGCCAGCCTTTTTGGGAGATTGGGGAACACAGTCTCTGCCCATCCTTGGGATCACCCTTCCCTTCTGTCCTCCTCCCATTCCACCTCTGGCCTTGATCACCCCTTGGAGCCCTGGGCATCAGCTTCCCCACTGAGCTTGGCTTCCTCAGTAAAGCACACACCCTCCCCATCGTGACCAGGAGCCAGGTGACCGACTGGAGGATGCTGATGGAGATCGACAAGGAGCCACCGCTTGCAGAACCTCCATCTTTCCCTTGGGGTCCTTTTTAAGGGTCTGGGCCCCTGAGGGGCATATTTGCTGATCTATTCAGTCAGGACTGATGTGTTGCCACCTGCTGCCTCCCCACTCCCTTCTGCCCTCTCTCACTAGCTAGGTCCTAGATAGTTCATTTGTCTCTGCCTGGGTTTTCCAGTCTGGGAAACAGGGCTGGCCGAGAGGAAAGGTCCAGCCAGGAGGCACCACTGTCCAGTTGAGCAGCCTGTGCTCGCTGCTGCCTTCCGTAGGGACACCCCCAGCCCCTAAGTCTCCTCCTGGGTTGCTAATGACAGGCCCCTGGAGCGGGAGACTCAGAGGGGTGTCAGTGCACCATAGGCCTCCCCCTCCATGGGGATGTGGCAAGGCCACTGTGCCTTCCATGAACCCATGGCTGGCAGCAGACGGCTGGTCTGAAGCTGGCCAGGGAGGCAGGACCGGAAGGGAGGTAGCCGTGGAGAGGATGGTGGAGCCCTCTTGGTCCCATCCCCTGACCCTATCTCCTTCCTCATGGCTGAGGCTGGGGGCACTGAAGCAAAAACCTGCCGGGAGGAGGAAAAGACACAGTCGTAAGTCCTTCCTTCCTTCACTTGGCAAACATCTCTGGAGCCCAGGCTCTGAGGAGTGGACACGGGTGAGCCACAGGCCCAGGCTCTGCCCTCCGGGAGTTCGGGTCTGAGTACACAGGAAGGTAACCAGGTGAGGGGGCTGTGCGGGAAAAGGGGAACAGGCCCTCCACCTGTACATAGGTCCGGCAGGGCCTGAGAACAGTGTGAATAACAAAGTAAAGGTCGGGGGCGAGGAAGAGGGAACAGCGCGTGCTGCCCGTCTGGGGGCGAGGCAGGAAGCAGGCTTCCGCGGGAGAAGTCCAGCCCTGGGAAACAGCCATGTCCAGGAGGGGGTGCGGGAGCTCGGGGGATGTACCCTCCAGCCGGCGTGTCAGGGCAGGCCGCTAGCAGCGTCCAACGTGAGCCGTCGGTCGCAAGGGCAGGCGCCTCAGTGACTCGGGAGAGTGTTGGGGGACTGCAGGCGAGGGCGGGCATTGGCGGTGAAATAGGAGGGTGGGGACTGGTGGCACTGACTGCGAGCGACCGGCCTCCCGACACCCCAGCCACCCTGAACCGCGGCTGAGCCCCGGGGGAGCGCGTGAGCGAGCCTACGCCGGCCGGGAGCGCGCCCGTGACGCCATCAGCACGGGCCGTCCCGACTTCCGGGCGCGAGTGTCCCCGCCCCGGGCGGCCGCGGTTCGTTCTCGCGCCGGGGCCGCCACCTACCCTGCTCTCACCGCGTGTCCCCAAGGCCGGGAAAACCTGGTTCCTTCTTCACAAATGGACCCAGGAAGCCCCCCTGGGTGCCTTCTGCGCCCACGGGCCCCCGTCCCTCTAATGGCGAGTGCTGAGAGAGGCCCTGATGGTCTGCGGCCTTTAGCAGGCTGCCTGGGGGCGCAAACGAGTGACCATGAGGGTGGACCCTTCTTCACTCGGCCCTGGCAAGCACAGCCTCTTTCCCGTGACCTGCTCGGGATAAGCCTCCTGGTCACAATCGCGGGCAGTTTATTTACCCTGCCCCCATCACAGCCTTTGGGGGCAGTTTCCTGGACACCTTGTCAGGCCATCGGGCGGCGCGGGTGGGGAAGGCGCTGCGGGGCTTCGGTCAGCCTGTGTAGGGCAGCCAGGGGCAGATAAACAGGCTGGCTAGGGAGCTTCAGCCGTACCGACCCGGTCAGCGTGGTAAAACTGCCCAAGGCCCCAGCGTCTTCAGTGCTTTTAAGCCAGGGACTGGGCGGCAGGCCACTGTAGGCATCTGCGCGCTGCTTAGGAGCAGAGGGGGTGGGATGGTTTACCCTTTGAGGTCACGTCAGGAGATGACACCCCTGTGGCCAAGCCTCCCAGGTCAGGCCTAGTCAGTGGAGGATTACGTGGGGGAGGTGGGCGTGGCCTGCCAGGAGACAAAGGTGACAACAGTTGGGGGAGGGTCAGGGTTTGACCCAAAATGAGTGGGGGTGGGGGGAGAAGGGGAGTTTGCCCCAGAGTTATTTGCCAGGTGGGTGTGGGAGGGGAGAAACAAGACCACACCAGGGGCCACCTTCTTTCCATGGGTCACCCACATCATTGACCTAGGTCAAGTTCACCCACAATCCTGAGTGTTGTCTGTGGCCCTCCAGTTGTCCTTTCACGAGTTCTTTACTGTGCATGCATCTAAGTCCTTGCCCCTAGGGTGTCGAGTCCCTGTTCCCAGATCTTGATGTGGCAGGAGCTCCTCTAGAACCCTGATTCTGTGCCCCTTACCAAAGACCCTTGTCCAGGGAATCTGAGAACTTGCAGGAAGTAAAAAGAAAGGAAATAACTCCGGCATCCTCAACTGAGATTGTGTTTGCTATAAAGGCTAAGGGCACAACCCGAAAAACAGAATTCTCTTTGTAGGCTAAAAGGACACAGACCCATTTGTCAGGAGTGACTTTTTTGGTGTGTGTACTAAGCTCTAACTGCCATTCATCACCTACCCAAGGACATGGAAAAATCCAGGGGACGCCTGTGCAGTAGTGGCAGGGGCAGGGGGTGGGTTCAAGGAAGCAGGGGAGCTGGAGGACAGCTGCTTGAGGCCTCTGCCTAAAGGGGTAGGACACTATTCTTTAGCCTCACAGCAGTGATGACAGGGCCGCAGGCTGGCCAAGCCCTGCCCCAAGAGTAGCCACCACCTCACCCTCTGCTCCCTTGCCCTGCCTCTGAGGCCCATTGTCCCTCCTGGTCACATTGCGTTAGGATTCCAGGCTCAAGGCCATGCTAGATGGTGAAGGCTGCCTGAGGCTGAGTGGAGGCTGGCTGTGGCTTCCAGCCCAGCAGAGGTTCTGGCTGTGGGTGGGACATGGTGACCCGGAATCTCCACCCTCCTCAGCTCACATCTCTCCTCTGCTGAGCAGGCCCAGCCACCTCCTGGGACTCTCCCCACCCCACCCGCTACCCCACCACTGGTCTGTGTCTAGGTGGGGGACCAGGCCGGAAGTTGAGTCTGTTCTACCTCCCAATTCTTTGAAGATCTGCACACATCTCTGCCCCTATGCCCCCGCCATTGTCCTCCTCTCTGCAGCCTCTGAGGTCTTAGTTAAACACAGCTGGGCTCCCTCCCTCCAGGTCCCTGCCTGCTCACTTCCCTCAGCCTGGACACCACAAGCTCTTTCCTGCATACAGGATACCTCGCCCCTCCTGCTCCCCTTCTCTCAGGTATCAGCTCCAAGAACAGAGGCCGCCTACTAATTCAGGTAATGTGTGAAGCGGGTGGGGTTGCCTCCACCAGAGTGGGTGGCTTTTCTGTAACCATAGCCCCGGGAGACTCAACCCAGCTCAGTCTTTTCTGGCTGGGCTACCACGTCGTGCTGGGAGACACAGGAGAGGGGACCTGGACTATGGTAGGGCTCCTGACCCTCCTGAAGAGAGGAATGGGGGCTAGTTTGCTCCTGGGTGGGGGTCCCCATGCCCCACTCTCAGACCAGTGCAGTCTCAGCCCCATCCTCCCAGTGAAGGGTGAAGGGGACGGGATTCTGGGATGCTAGTGCATAGTCAGGGAATGGATACCATTCCTGGAGGTCAGTACTGGGAGCACTGAGGCCCCTCAGGGCTCAGCTGCTGGGTTTTGCCTGCTCTAGGAACTACCTGGAACTCTGGCTGACTGTGAATAACCTTCCACAACCCAAAGAAGAAAGCTACACATGCAAGGGCTTACTGGGTTAGGCATTGTTCTAAGCACTTTATACGGATGGGCTGAGTTTTTCTGTCACCCCATTTCATAGATTAGGAAATTGAGGTTAGGCCCAAGGTCACACAGTGAACAAATGAGAAGCCAGGGTTCTTTCTGTTCCCCACCACAGCCCAGAGATGCTGTCTGCTGTGTGTTCCCCTAGCCTCAGTGGCTTGTGCCATGGGCCCGCACTGTCTATCACTACAGCAAAGCTCCTGAGGCCCAGAACCAGTGGCCTGCGTCTGGGCCTGCATGCCCCAGTATGTGTGTGTGGGAGACAGCCTCTGGCCCCTGTGGGCAGGCAAGCTTTGCTGTGGGGCCCCTCAGTTGCGGCTAAGACTGGTTACCTTCCAAGAGCAGCGAGTATGCACTGCCCAGTCCTTTAAAACCATTTTCCTTTTTACACAATTGATCCTCGGATCTGTCCCAGATCCCTAGACCAGGGATCTGGATGTTGTGGGAGCTTGCAGGGGTAGGGCACTCTCCCCTAAAAGGAGCAGCTCTAGGGACCAGACCTGCTTACTGGGAGGCTTCTGTTGGCAAGTTATTTCCCAATCTGAACCAAAGCCTTGAATGACTCTTACCCATGGATCACTTGGACAGCAAAGTGCCTTCTGCCCCCGCACAGCCAGGGGCCCTGGTTTATCCCATCCTGTTCTCAGGTCTCTTCCACTTTGGCCCTGGGTTGTGGTTCCCAGCTCTGGATCTGGGGGGAAGGAGGGGTCCTGGGGCCCTGGTCAGGCAGTTCTACCCCATCCTGCCCCAGGGCAGCTGTCTCTCGACCACGGTAAAGGAGTGAGCAAAGGTCCCCTGCTCAGAGCCTCAGAATTTGGATGCCCCAAAGCACTTCCCCACAAGCAGACCACAGAGAAACTGTGAGGGAGTAGTAGAAGGTGAGCTAGGCCACAGGCTGAGGGGCAGTCAACGGCCCTGGAGCACTATCTCCCAGGCCCAACCCCTGGGGTGGGGCAGTTCTCCACTCTGCCCACTCAGTGCTGCCTGCCAGGTGATCCTGAGGGCATGTCCACTAGCTGACCCTGCAGAACCTTGCTCACAGGCCACAAGCATGGCCTGGACAGAGTCCAAATGTTCCTTGGCGTGACGGTGCCAGGCCTCTTGGGGTCTGATGCTGTGGCCACAGCTGCCTCACCCACCAGCTTGCCTGCTGCCCTGCTTCCCTGTTCCCCTGCCAGTGTCCTCTGGTGAGAGGGTGGACCTGCTCTTTGCAGAGGCATGGACAATCATTATCCACCCACAGATGGGCCCACACAGGGACAGGAGGCTGCGACAGGATCCGGTTTATTCTGCCATGGGAGGGTGGTCCTGAGAGTGGCGGGTGCCAACCTGTCCTGGGCGGAGGGAGGGCCCAAGGGCCAGTTAAGGCCAGTGGTGGGAGAAGCAGGGGGCATGTAGCCCCTGGAATGCGGTGAGGCCAGGCTGAGGCCCGGAGGCAGCTGTGGTAGGCCGGGGCAGGTGCCCCTGCTGCCCAGGGTGGAAGGCACCGGGCTGGGACCGGGCCATGGCTACAGGGCCGTGGACCCAAGCCACATGGGCACCCCGGGAAGTGGGGCACAAGGTCACGTGACACAGAACATGAAACACAGGCGCACGGCTCATGAGTAAGCACATGGACAAGTGGGCACAGATTCACAGGCCAGAGGGACACCCAGCCTTGGCCGGACACATGGACACAATGGTGGTGTCATAACACACCACGGGACACCTGGCACTAAGGGACATGTGGACTCGATGGCTGCAGGGGACAGACCCAGGCCATGGAGTGCAAGGAACAGGGAAAAGGGGCCTTTTGGCACGACTGCACTAGAATCGTGAGAAGAGGGCAGTGGGGACTGGTCTGGAGGCACCTCGGCCAACCCCCATGCAGACCCCTTCGGGGACTCAGTCTGTCTTCCACACTTTGTTGAGTAGCTTCACCACTTCATCGTAGATGACAAACACGATGGCCACGTCCAGGCAGACCCGGCCCAGGCGGGGGATGGTGCCCTTGTAGAATCTGGGGTTGTGGGCAGGGAGAGGTAGGAGGTGAGAAGGCAAATGAAGAACAGTGTCCCTAGACAGTGAGGGTGGGTCCAGACATCAGAGGGACAAGGGCAGGAACCTAAAGGTAAGGACTCCCTGAGGGATAGCCTGGTGCTGGCAGCGGGTGGGGACCACAGCCCTGTCCCTCCCCTACTCACGCCTTGAGCCCCTCATTCCTCAGGATCTGCAAGCCACAGTCCCATGTATTCCGGTATTTGTGCGCCTCCAAGCCCTGCAGGACAGCAGTGTGCCACAGGGTTCAGCGGCTAGCCCCTGTCACAAACTCCCTATCCCCTTCCTTGCCCCCACTCCCACCTGCATCCGGGTCTTGATCACGTCCAGAGGAGTGTTCCCGAAGACACTGGCTGCGCCAGCGACAGCTCCAAACACTCCAGTGATCAGTGGGTTCATGGGCTTGTTGGGGTTGTCCCCTGGATGTGGGTGGGAGATGCAATCAGAAAGTGATGGGAAGGCAAAGGGGAGGGCTCTTCAGGGCTGGGGAGGAGCATGGAAAAGAGCCTATCAATGTGTGGGCCCCAGGAGGCCAGGTCCTGGCAGGGAAGACTGAAGAGGAGGAGCCTAACCCAGAGTGGTTGGAAGTGGGGTTTTAGGGGTACAGACCCAACAGATACATACCCTTGTACCAGTTTCGCAGGGAAGTCATGACGAAGAAGCGGATGGCCTGGTTAGATCCCTGCTTCAGCACGGTGGCTGTGAGGCCCTGGTAGGTCCCCTTCAGCCCTAGGGGCAGACAGGCATGGGAGTCATACTGGTGCCTCCCAGGCCCCGGATGGGGACCGGGAAGTGGGGAGAGTGGCACACCAGAGCACCAAAGCAGGAAGGGGAAGTTCAGGCCAGCCTGGCCAAGGTCCCTGGCCCTACCTGAGGAGGAAGCCATTATGGCTCACCTTGTTCTCGCACAATCTCCCTGACCCCGTGGAAGAATCCTCTGTACTTGGGGTTGGGAGAGGTCTGGTCGTGGATGAACTTCACCTGTGAGAGGAAAGCAAAGGCCCTAGCTCCCAGGATGCCCCTGGAAGGGCATATCTGGCCCTTTGGCTTGCAGGCCCAGGGCCCACAAAGATCTGATCAGGGTTGGAGGTGCAGCTCTTCACCTGGAAACAGGGCCTCCCAGGCCACTGCAGGACACAAAGACCCCAGCAAACAAGAGGGCTGGCCTTACTAAAGTCTCTGCAGTTACATTTGCTGGTATTTCCTACAGCTTAGGCAGGAAACATGTTATCTTACGTTTTCTGTTTATAAAAGTATTTTTTTAAAAAACCCCAATGTCAGTTGTCCCACTGCCTTTAGGACAGTGTCCAGTCTCCAGAGGAGGCCCTTTCTGCACACCTCCTGCACCCAGCTCCCCAGGCAGTTTCCCCTGCACACCTTGCCCTGCTCCTGCAGGACCTTCTTCACCTTGCCGGTCTCCTAGGATGACCCCAGCCACCCTAGCACCCCTCCGCACACCTTCTCCCTACTGGGACCCTCCCCACCTTGATGGTCTCCATGGGGCACACGACCACTACAGCTTCCGCCACACCAGCACCCAGGCCGCACAGCAGTCCCCGGGTGCTGTCCAGGCGTCCCTGGGGATCTCTCATGTGGTTGCTGAGGAACTCAAACATCCCGAACCTGGGAACAGGAGGCAGTGGGGTGAGAGGGGGTGCAGCCGCCCGGCCCGGATGCCCTCCCTCGACCACCCCAGCCCGCCTCACCTGACGGCCGCTTTGGGGATGGAGCCGTAGAGCAGGGAGCTGAGGCCTCGGTACAGGCCCAGGACGCCATGGCTGCGGACTGTCTGCCGCACGCAGTCCCCTGGAGGAGGGGGCGTTCAGCGACCCCAGCCGCCCTAGAGACCCGCCCCGCGCAGTTCCCCGCAGCCCGCCAAGGCTGCTCCCCGAGCGCAGGGCCCGGCCCTCTCGGTGGCGCGCCGCCCCTACCCCTTCGCCCCCCCCCCCCCCCCCCCGGCAGCCCCCTACTCACCAATACCCCGGTACCGCGGAGGGTGCGAGCGCTCGTCCAGCTGCAACTGTGTCTTCACGTATTCGGTGGGGAAGGTGATGCAAATTTCAATGCCGCCCGCCAGGCCGCCTGAGGAGACCAGGGACCCGGACCCTGAGACCACCGCCCCGCGGCCGGGCCCTCCGGCCCCTTCCCCGCCCCGGACTTTGTCCCGCGCCTGTGGTGTAGGGGAGGCCCGGCAGCGTCCCCTGCCCCACCCACGTTGTTCTGGCTAGGCGCGGAGGGGCGACGAACCAGGCGATCCCCCACGCGCTGGCTGGGGACCCGGGCCGCGCCCCCCCCGCCCGCCCCGGAAGTGGGGCGGGGCCTCGGCGTCCCGAGCCCACCCGGAAGCACGGTGGGGCCAACGGAGGGGGCAGATTGGGGGTCCGTGCCACGGAGGGGCCCACCTGCCAGGATCGCCTTCCCCGGGTGCGTCAGCTTGGCCTTTCCGGACGCGGGTGCGGCGGCCGCCAGAGCGCGGGGCTTGGCCATGGCAGGCGGGGAGGCGGGGAGGCGGGGCGCCCGGCGTCGGCCTTCGGTCCGAGCCTCCTACTCTCCGCGCTCGGTCCACGGCGGCGGCGGCGGCCGGTTAAGGCCCGGGGGGCGGAGCGGTCGCGTCAGCTCCCGGGCTCCGCCCCGCGTGGTCCGAGCCGGGCCCCGCCCCCGGCCCGCCCCGCGCCGGCCGGGAAACTGAGGCCGGGGCGGGGCGAGCGAGGCAGGCGCCGGGGCGGTATCGATAGCCCAGCCAATGACTGAGCTCAGGGTCCTTGGGAGGCGGTGCTGTGCTCGGGCCTGGATCTGTGGGTCAAGGTGCAGTTTCTAAAACCCGCCCCGGCATCTGGCAGAATCCGGTACGGGAAGGAGCAGGTCTCAGGGTAGTAGCGTCTGCCTGAGCGACCGGGATCCCAGGAGATCCGGGGTGGAGAGACGGGCAGACCGCCCCCCCACCCACCCCCGGGGCACTTGGGGCTAGTCCCATCCCTGACGTTTGAGGGTTTGGCATTCCGACACCCAACGGGCTGTGCGGCTACCATTTCCCCGCTACGGTATTTAGAGCTCCACGCAGAGAACTCAGGAAAAAGATCCCCACCCTGGCTATCTCCCCCTGGGCAGCTTGTTCCATGCGCAGACGCAGGTTCCCGTTCCAGAGAGGCACCAACAAATCTTTTGTCCCCTGCTACCCACACCAGCACCAAGCAGGGAAGCTTTGCCTTGATAAACCGACTTTAATATTCATGATCGGTAGGAGGCTCAGGGCCAGGTTAAAAGGTCCGTTCAGTTGTGTCTGGCAAAGTGGCCTGGAGGGGGCAGCTCCGTCAGTGCTGAGCGAAAACTGGGTGCCCCTCCCACCAAGGGCGGGGAATCCCTGCTGAGGACTCCCCAGGAATGCCTGGCTCCAGCCAGAGGGCCTGGAGGCAGGAGTCCACCAGAGCTGGTCTTCTTGGGCAGTCAGTGGCTACCCTGGCCTCCCCTGGCTTGGAGATGGCTTAGAGGCTGCCACTACTGGGCCTCAGCAAAAATAAATAATGTCCAGGTGTCCCCGCCTCCCATCAGAGTCCTCTGTGCTTGTGGGATGACACGCTCCTTGAAGTTAACCCCACAGAGGCGTGTTGCCACGGAGCGCCCGCTACACGCTGAAGCCGTACACAGGAGGCTGGGCGAAGGCAGGTGCAGGAGCATATCCATAGGGGAAGCCAGCAGGGGCAGGGCCTGCAGTAGGGCCGGCTGTCAGCATCAGCTGCTGGCCTGCAGAGGGAGAAGCAAAGGATGAGCAGAGCTCCTGCTGCCCCCGAGTGGCCAGGGGCCCAAGGAGCAGGGTCCCAGACCAGCCCTGACCACCCAAGGCTCAAGCACTGGAGAACAGGTGCCTGGGGGCAAGGACAGTGGATGTTGCTGTTGTGGGGCCAGCTACAGAGGCTGGCCAGGCTTAGGGGGTAAGCTAGTCCCGAAATGGGACACTTACTTAGCTCAACTGGCTGGGTCTCAATCATGCCCATCAAAATCTAAAAAAACCAGATTGACATTAATGGTGACCCTGAGGAGGACACAGCTGGTGGGAGACGTGCTGCGTGCTCACACCACACCCTCAGGCCTTTGTTAGTCCGGCAACACACTCCAGAACCCAACAGCCTTTTGGTGCAGCGGACACCAACTAATCTGCTCGACAGCCAGTCCATCCAGGCAGCCTCTCCAGTCACAGCCAGCAGCAGGCAGAGCAGCACACGGCAGCAGCTCAGACTGGGGCAGTTGCTAGGCACAAGGAGCAAGCAGGGGCACCCTCACAGAAGGCAGGTACCCTGAGAAAAGGGAGGACAATGGCCGTGCCTCTTCAACATTCCTGGGTCCACTGACCTTCTCCACGCCCGGCAGCCGTTGTGGTCCTTCCGTGCCCCACCCTGTCCATTTCCTCTCTGATCTGAAGCCCAGCCAGGGAAGGGTAATGTGAATGACCTTCCTTACTCTCCCCTCCCTAGGGGCAAGGGGATGCCACCTACCAAATAGGAGAGGGGCGGGCTCCACCACATGCTCCTCTCGCTTGCGCAGGCTCTCCGAAGCGTCCAGTCTGTCTACCTGCCAAGAGGTGAGATCGCTCAAGTGCCTGCCTGACAGGCCGCGTTCAGTCTGGGCCAGGAGGTGAATGTGGGGCCGGGAGGCAGAGCACACAGCCTCCAGGAAAGTCAGGGCAGGGGCTGGTTGGAGGGCAGACGCTGTACCACAGTGACTACCGCCCTGCTCCACAGGAAGGTGAAGCCTCTATAACTGGGTAGACGTGGAGTGCCCAAGGGGGCCCTGGTGACGCCCCCATTGTTCCAGCTCGGTGCCTTTCAAGCGGGCCCCTGGCGGCCCAAGGCAGCAGAGAACGGCCGGTGACTGCAGGCTGCACGTGTGGCCCAGCTCACGGGGCTGGCCCTCCTCTGGATACAGGTGCACCGCCAAGACGACTTCCTACATCTAGCCATAGCCAGTCCATGCTGCCCACCTTTCCTGAGGAGACCAGTCATCTGACATCTGGGACATCCCACCTGGCAGGGCAGATGTGCCACCTCAGAGATGGTGGCAGCGACAGCCATGTGAGGACAGGCTGCCTCCTTGCTCTTCCTCAAGGCTTCACCAGGGGCTACCCCATGCAGTACCCACAGGCTGGGGCAGACACACGGATGGGGAGGGAACAGAGCAAGGTGGTGCCAGGGGCCTGAGGGGCAGACAGCACTGTGCTAGTGGTGGCGATAGCAACTGTGTGTCTGGGACACCCCCAGCCCCCTGCCCCACCAAAACAAGCAGTTGAGTCAGAAAGAAGAAAAAGTTATGTGCCCTGTGTGTACTCGGGCCAGGGAGAGATCAGGCCAGGCACCAGAACCCTAGCAGAAGCAGCCCTGTTACTGGCCCTGTGCACTCCTTTCCCCTTCCCTCCTTGGGATGAGAGCTGAGGTGAGGAAGGAGCAAGACAGTGCAGTGGCCTTGCAATCTATACTCTCTTCCTTCAGCTGGCTCCCACCCAGGCTGAGGTCTAAGCTAGGCCTGCATCCTCCGCTGAGAGAGCCAGGGGGCTCAGGGATGTGGGTTTTTCTCAGAGGGATGGTCCTCAAGCTTCCCAAATGAATCAAGAGGCCCTGGGCCCGGTTCTCCAGGCAGGAAGGGGCTGTGGCCTTCTTGTCTGGGCCTCTCGACCTCACAGCAGTCTAGTCTGTTGGGCCCCAGGCCAGCTAAGGACCAGCCCACATCCCACCACTGCCTAAGAAACCTCCATTGAGCCCACCCTATCCCCAACATGACAGGCATCGGGTCTGATGCTGGTGCAGGCATGTGGGGTGGCAGCGATGCTGGGAGCCATGGTAGCCCCTGTCTTCCTCCCAGGACTAGGGGAGGTGTCTGGGGACCCTGGGTTAGGGAGCAGGTTCCAGCAGGAAGGCAGCTGTAGCCCAAGGACACTGTTCCACCCTGAAGTAGCTACGCAGCTGCAGTACTGACATGGCTGCCAGGATGACCATCATTCATCACAGAGAGGGAGTGTGTTCCCCCCTAGTCCTCGAGGCCCCCTGGAGGTCCCAACACCCGCAGCAATGAAGGTCTGAGCGGTATGAGTTCCTCTTATGTTAACCCATGGGCCTTGACTCTAGGAAGATATTCAAGCCATATGCACCCTTCTTTATGCAGGGGCACAGCAGACAGACTATGGCTAAGACAATTTAGGGATGGAAAAAGCAGAAACCGTGGGACAGGTTCTGAAGACAAGCTCCACACAGCACAGACACTTCCTTTAGGGAGCTGCCATCCACTGTAGCTGAGGAACCAGGGACTCTTGTAAATCCAACCAGTCTATGTACCCTAGTAGCCTGCAGATCAGGCCACACGGCCAGGACTGCCCCTCTCCTGTCCCCTGAAGAGCCTCGGGAGACCTCCCACTCAGATGCGCTGTGTGAACGGGACTAGGACACACTCTGGCAGTCCCTCCTCCTGTAGCAGGGAGATGGTCTTGAATGACCCATGGAACAGTCCTTGACAGGGGCTGGGCAGCTCCCAGGAGGCGCTGCAGGTGGCAGAAAAAGCAAGCCCTCACAGGCCAAAGCTGGCAAGTGCCAGACACCCCCCACCTGTGCACTTCTTGTTTCTTCTCTAACCCCAGACTAACACCTTCAGGCCCCTCCCCTCACACCACTGAAAGAGACCCTCAGCCTAGGGGCTGCTTATTAGCATCATGGGGCCTCCATATGCCTGGAAGAACATTAGGCGTATGGCTGGATGGGCCAGTAGGTGCTGCTGGGTGGCAGCTTTTCTGCAGCCTTAGAAACAAACCAGACTAGGTGACAAGGGTCTCTGGATGGTGCCTCAATTAGGCCCCTGACCAGAACTCCTAGGGCTTCAACACACACGGAGAGTTAAAATCAGACACTCCCACCTTGTTAAACAGCTCATCAACCTGCAAAGAAAGAGTAGGAGGCTAGGGCCACCAAGTGATATCTGGAGTGGTAGAAGCAACTTACCGAGACATGAGTATGGCCCTGAGGCCAGGGAGATGTGGTTCTGAGCCCATGTCTTCACCTGTCAGCTTTGGACCCAAACCTGTGACTACAGCTGTAGAGGGGATGACTATCTACCTGTCCAGGTGTTACCATTCCTACTAAGTGGTCAGCAAAAGCGGGGTTACCATGACAGGTCTGCCAACAAATGCACCCCGAACTCCACCAGAGGCGCCCTGAGAGGTGAACTGACAGCACGGGGACGAAGCCCACGGGCCGTGTGCTGGAGCTCTGCTACCTGCTGCCTAGCTGTTCTCAGAGCACAAGAGCCCTCGGCTGTGGGCGAGCACAGCCGTCGTGCCCCCTAGCAGCATGTGGCAGAGCTGATGCAAGGGGAAGGACTCAGTTCTTCGCAGAGCTCCCCAAGGTGATTTTCTAGAATAGGTTAATGTCAGGCAGCAAACCACTGGGAAAGCATGAGGCCACTCTCCAGGGTGGGAGGGGCTGGCTGGCCAACCTGGGCTGGCCCCCCACAGGCCAGTGGCCACCACAGGGCCTCTGCACGCATGGGCTAGAGTCACAGCCGTGCTATGTGGCAGCAAGGGAGCCAGGGCAGAGCCCGTACTTACTTTGCTAAGGTACTCCCTCATCACCTGGATGAAGTAGGGCATGGCCAGGTCCACGAGGTTGTGTCTCCAGGCCAGCTCCAGCACTACATCCGGGGGAAGCAGGTCGTAGCAGGTGAAGAGAGAGGCCGCGAAGCACTCCCGCTTGCCTTCCTCCAGGAACCACTGCAGCAACTTCTCAGCCAGCTCAGCGTCCCTGGACTCTGCAGCATGTTGCATGGCGTCCTGCAACCAAGGCAGACGCACAGCTCAGGTCTGCCCTGCCTGGCGCTGCTGGGAGGCACTTTCTGGGTGGGTAGGACACGCAACAGTGCCAGGCTCCGTGAAGGCCATCCTCGCCTGCAAAGGGGTCTCTGTGGCTCAGCTGCCCTCCGGTAGGATGGAGTACCACCTCCAGGAGGGCTCTGGAGGGCACCAAGTGTGTTCCTGGCAGCAGGCTCTCACAGACCTGCTGAAATGCCAAGAGGGAGGTGACGCGCAGAGGTGCAGGCACCCTGAGAGACAGGCTCTGGTCTTGCAGCTGGACTGGCATGCAGAGGGAGTGCATGGGACTGCCTGGGGGACGGTAACAGAGCTAGCAGGGCCTGATGTAAAGGTCAGAGTCGCTGTGCTTGGCTCAACAGCCAGCGCTATCCTTCCAACTCAGCATGCAGCAGCTACAAGGAACCCAGCCAGTGCTCAAGAAATAGCAATCTGCCCGTTCTTCCTGACAAAAAAGTCCCCTCAAAAATCCCTGATTGCTACTTTTATATTTGCAGATTTGTCTAAAACATAAAGAATCATACCCACCCAGTGAGTAATCATCAGTAAATTAGTGATTTCGATTTTCTAGCCACAATGGTGAGAAGCAAATGGCCTAAACTGCCAGTGAGTGGTCAGCCAGCTCTCCCGGACCCTCCAGCAGCCCTCCGCAGCCCTGGACAACCTGGGCTTCCAGACACGAGACTGAAGCCTGAAGATGAGGCCTCTCGGCCGAGAGGCACAACCAGTCTCAAAGGCATTCTGGTTGCCCCCTAACCGCTGCCTGCTGTTGCGGTCCTGGCTCCTCTCATTCTCAGTCCTCTGACATGAGACTCCTACGTGGGACCCAACATCCTATAAACCAGCTCTGTGGAGGCCCCTCTTGTCCCTGATCCTGAAAGGATCCTCTCCCACCAGCTTGTTGCTTCTGCTGAGTCCTGCCTCATCCCCATGCTGTTCCTACAAAGGCACCTGGCCTTTTAATGGCAGGGGGAGTGGAGGCTCAAGTGAAAGCTCCAGGACACCTTCAGGTCTCCCTGGACCTCTGACACCAATGCTGTCACTGCTCAGCACTCTTCCCGCATGTCCTTCAGTCCAGCAGGGCGGCCCACCCTTGGTTGGTTCATCTTCAATGTGCACCTAAAAGTGGGCACTTCTCTTCCTCCACAGGCCCGGGTACTGTCTCATGAACTCTTACAGACTCAACTGCCATCATCAGAAAGTGGACGTTTCCAGAACCATTGTGCTCCAACTGTCCAATGGCAGTTTCCTAGAGGATTCAGGTGCAATGAGCCCCACAGATGATCTCTCAGTCTGTGCCTGCCCCCTGCATCCTGGAACCAAGCTTGAATCTGAGATTCTCCCACACCTTCCCACTTCTTGTCACCATACCTGACCCATGTCACTACTGGGGCATCTCTCTACCTCGTTCCTGTTCCTCAACCTCCCTCCCAAACCAGTGCCAGCACTTTCCAGGGCCCTGCTCCAGGCCCTCGCCCTGTCCTGCACTGTCCCCAGCCTGTGACTGTATCTCTGCAGGCTCCTGTTCACTTGTGGGCATGAGGGGTCCATGAACCTACTGCCTGTTCACACACCTATGAATGGGCCCCTAGCCCTGACCTTCCCATGCCCTAACACATTCCCTCATGCCCCACCTGTCCTGCTGTTCCTCAACAATCCCAGCTTCCCACACGCAGTTACCACGCCCTCAATACCACTGGCTCCTCAGAGTGAACACACCTTAAAGTGGTTAGCCCTGACAGCCAAGAGCCCGCTGCTTTTACACCCAACCTCTGCAATCTGGAAAGCATGCTTCTTATTGCTTTATGACTGTCCCAGAAGCCAGCAGTGGCTACTCACCAACCCCTCCAGGTGGCACACTATGACCGCCCACTCTCCCAGGACTTCCATGCAGGGTGGGCTCTGCTACCAAGGCATGGCTGACACGTGTGTGTGTGGGGGGGTGCTGTGCATCGTGGGCTCTTTAGCACCACCCTGGCCTCCACCTACTAGATGTAGCACCGCACCACCAGGTGTGACAACCAAACATTCCCTGGGGGTCAGAGTCGCCCTCACTGAAAACCAGGGCACTGGAAAGTATGCCCATGGCTTTCTGTGTGTGGCTTGTCCTTGTGGATTCTCTTTCTTGCACACGTTGCTCTGAGTGGGATTGCTGGTTGGAAGGGGACAGGTGGCCTTCTGGCAGTTCTCACAGCACTGCTCGCTCACTCACTCATTGCCCGAGCAATAAGGGGCCATGCACTCAAGATCCTGGTGTGTACACTGGCAGGATGGGGCAGTAGGGAACCCCTAGCCAGGGGCAGTTTCCCTCTGGTGTGTTGGAGCCCCGCTGCCACCTCCCAGTGCCAGTGCCTGAGGACCCTGACAAACTGTCTCAGAGTTCCCTCTGTCAGCACCCGAGGAAGGACCATAAGCACTGTCACTAAAAGGGAGGACATGTCACATAACAGTCCCAAACTGGAGGTAACAATTGGGATGAAGCTTGACGTGTCTCCGATGTCCAGGCTTCTCTGGCCTCGGCCCATGTGCGGTGAGAGAGAGACGCCCGTCCTCTTCTAAGAAAGAAACTCAGGAATGCCAAGGACAGTTCTGGGAGTAACACCTTTTAGGTCAAGCTCATGGCCTGAGAAAAGGCTCCCCAGAGGCTCATGGCATGAGGAACCCTTGGAGATCAGGTTAGCCACACCACACATTACAACAATGGCCCCCTCATGCAACTGTACTTTATCCCACTGGGGAGATGCTGAGGTCAGGTGGAATGAAGGTAATGCCTTCAAGGGCCTGGGATCTCTCCAAGCAGCCCACCCTGGCCAGCAGATGCCCAGATCTGGATCAAGAGAGGGTGGTACTGCACCACTGCTCAATGGCAGAAACAAGTATTGTGAATGGGATTTTCACTTTGGTGTTTTTATTCCCTATATCTTGATCAATAGAAAGCAAAGTAGGTGCCAAGTGAATGCTGCCACACTCTGTTCAGGGAGAGTGAGAGTCACAAACACCTGCTGGGAAAGATTCAACTCCATAGGAGCTAGTCTTCTGATCCAAGTAACTGAAGAGGCTCAGTGTTAATGACAGATACTGATCTTCACCCTGTGTTCTACACACAGGTCCCCCTTTACTTCACCCTCCTTGTCCCCACCGTAAGTATCTCCTGATAGGGCGTTGTGGCCATCTCACCAGCCCTCCACCCCCAAAACATCAGGAAGCACACAGGAGTGCATGGGGCACCGGGAAACCCACCTTGTAGAGATGGTCCTTCTTGCAGAGCTCCACGCTCTGGGCCCACCGCTTGTTGCCCTTGTACAGATAAGCCGCAATGCGCCTGAACTCAATCAGCTGGTGCTTCTCTAACCGCTGTGCCAGGGCGATGTTGTCAAAGTTGTCGTAGGCATCAATGGATGCCCTCAAACCCTAGGAAGACCCGGCCTTTCCGTGGGTGAGGGACACAGTGGAGCGGACAACCAGGAATTACTCATTGGCAGCTCCTGCCACCATGGCCTCAGAAAGGCCCCTCTTCATCTACCTCTGGTGCCTTGTGGGGCCCACAACCCCTCCTGTGCAAGGTCAGCCCTTGGAGAAGGGGGCGGGTACGAGGAGGGGCTCTCCAGTCCCTGAGTGCCCAACACTGGCTGCAGGGGTCCCTGGGGCAAAGGGAGGTCACTGCCCTCTGATAGGGCTCCTTCCCCCACACCCACCTGGTAATCCTCCTCTTCCGTCAGTAGGTGGTTGAGGGCCTCATTCACACTCTTGTTGTTGTGGCTCTGGACTGACCGCAGGTAAGGCTTCACTAA